TCCTTGCTTCTTTTCATATGTTATTCTCTGAGCACAAAGTTACCATTCCTGAATACTTCCTTCATATGTTCCTCTCTTTCAACCTGTCCACAGAGGCCATGGAAAACCCTTGGTCAGTATTTGGAAACATAGAGTACAAAATCAAATGCAGTACTCATGACAAGGCCTTACAGCAAAATGAACACTTCGCATGTCTTGCAGTAACTCAGGTGTAGCCTGTGATGCTTGCCTCTTTCTCAAAAGCCACAGAAGAGATATAGGTTTTACGGCATGCAGGTAAATAGCCAGCCTTGGCCTGACATTTAACTGACAAGGTAACTGTGAGAGACTGCTGGACATTGCATACAAAGCAAAGGGAGAAGTTGGCTGGCTCTCTCAAGCCTGCACTTATACCAATAGAACAGGAAGGGGATAAACTAGCAGGTGAAATATATGAAAAGGAATTGAACAATGGGCGAAAAATGTTAAAAGATAATGAAACAGGGGTGCTGACTTACAGACAGTGGTGGCAGTATCACAGACTAAAGCTGAAATAACGAAAGCAGCATGTAAAAATCAGAAAATATATTGGCCAATGCAGAAGGAGTAAAATGTGGGTGGGTTCCTTATTTGGGAGGGGAAAAAGGAGGAAAAAGGAATATAAGGTAAACCATATGAATGGAGTTTTTGGGGGTCTCTGTTGATCAGCCCTGTACCTGATTATCACAGACTGATGCAATAATAAACTATAATAATAAATTGTAACAATGACTTTTCATTATTTTTTCATTATTTCTGCCTGACTGGTTTCTGCAGGCAGGGGCATCTGGGATGGCCTCCCTAAGTGCTAGTAAGGCAATGGACAATGGACCAAACCTTCCTAAAAGAATTTACATCCCCAGATACTTTTCAAGTATTTTCCAGTGACAACTTCTCCAGTTGTTTCTCACAGCCTCTCACATACTCTTGATTATTCTTGCATATATGCTGTACCCTTAGTTGGCTTCCACCCTGTTTTTCAGACTCATTCTTCAATATGTCAAGATCATTCTTATGTGTAACACTGTATTTTAAAGCATTTTCAGAGAGTTAACATCTGCAGAATTAGTAGGTTTATTTTTGCTAACACACCACAAAGAAAGTATTCAAGGGAACTGGATCCAAGACAGACTTTTTCAGGAGTTCTAGTCAATATGCCAGTTTTGAAAATGAATCATTTATGCCTATTATTAGCTTATCCAACAATGTCTGCACAACTAAATCTATACAATACTTGTTTAAAATATTGTAATGTCAAGAAATGTCATAAATCTCACTGGAATCAAGATACATTGCAGCAACCGCCTGTCACCCATCCACAAGATGTGTTGTATTATCACAGGAGGAAATGAAATTGGTTGTCACTATTTATTCTTTACAAATCCTTCACAGCAGTCACTCGTTTGTTATCTTGCAGCTGCATACAAATATTTTGTTTATGTATTTCAAATTTCCTTCTAGAGGTTGAAGTCAAATTGACTGTCTCTAATTCTCCAACTTCTCTTTCTTTTTTCATTAACAGCCATGATGCTTGCCCTTTCCTAATCTTTTGATATGTCACCTAGCAGACACAAATTCCCTGAACTATCTTGATAATAGTTATGAGATTACTTTCACCAGTTTTTCAAATATCACTAGGTATTAAAAGCATATATACCACTAAAACTTCCCTTTGTAATGCAATCTGAGATTTTGAGATTTTATTTGGTTTTGCTAGTATTATTTGCAATAACTATCCTTTGCAGTTGACCTTTTTAGTGAAGGTTGACCTCTGATACGCTGAGTAGAAGACAAACCTTTGTCTTCTTGTTGTTAATGCACTTAAAGAATAATATTTTGTTACCCATCTATCCCATTCTGGTTGCATTTTAGTCTGTGCCCTGGCCTTCCTGGTACTATGACATGCTATGCTTTTACAACCCTCGCCTCTAGATTTCACTTTCTATATGATTTCCTCTGGAGGTCAAGGAAGAGGTAATTGCAAATAATTAAAACAAACAAGGGAAGAGACATTCTAGGAAGTAGTGAAAATCTGTTTTACAGCACCACAAGAAAAAATATACATAGTCTTAACTACTATCTAATCAATGTTTTCTGTTTCTACTGAGAAGAAACTTTTTATTTATTTTTTTTTTTAAGTAGAGGACAGGAAATGATCATATTAGTCTTAAAAAACATAACCTCCCCCCAAGGAAACAAAATAAAAACCCTTGCAAGTAGTTTTTCTGTACAGAGAATTGCCTAATTTACTGTTTTATAAAATATACTGAGCAATCCAGCAGTGTGTATTTTTTTGAAAATCGAGCCCACAATCTAACTCCCTACTGGTAACACAGAATCAAGTGCCTTCAAGTCTCTAGAGCACTATAATAAATTACATCAAGCAGAATCAGAAGTTATAATATTTGGAGAATGGCGGCTGTAAATATCTTCCACACTCAATAAAATAATGTGCAAACTGGCTCAATCCTCTCCTGTCCTTATGGAGCAACAATATGCTCTAAAAGTATTCAGTGTGTAGATGCTGTGTGCTTTGTCATCTACACAGGTTACGTATGCATTTGAAGCCAGAACTTTAGCAGTGGTACTTATTTAATACCTTTAAAATGTGTGTAATCCCTGCACAGTCGTAGTCCTTGACATGGACTAACTAGCATGACATGCCCTGGGATAGCTAGAACTCTCCAAACAATTCTCAAGGACAGACTGGGATTTAAGCATTGCTGGGAATCATTTTTCTTAAAGAACTCTTAATGGTAATGGAGAAAACTCACCGCAGGTGACACAATAACGAAACTCTAAGGACCTGTTTAATTCTTCAGGAAAGTCTGTACTCAAAAGCAAATACAAATTTGCAGCTATTACAAATTTTACTTCAAGGCAGCTCTTCAAGTGACCTTCAATTTCTTAAGCTTATCCTTTAAATTTTAAATCAATTGCATCCACAGGAGCTATTCAGGTTTGTACAAACATTATGTAACTGACTTTAATACGCTCCATCAATCTAGGGCAGATTAAGGCCTCTTCTGTTTTCAGTTATTATTGCCAAGTTTTATTTCATTCATTTGTGATAAATATGTGTGATTCACATTTCATTTGTTTTTAAAGTAAATTTTCACAGGACATTTTAAAGTCTGAGTTTTTCACATATGCTTCTTTAATGTTTTTATGTTTGCTGGTTTTATTTCTTATCTGCCCAAATTAATCATAAACTTTACTTTTTCTTACTTTTTGGCAGAGAACAATGTTTTCTGCTGTCAGTTCCACCTTAAATTTTCAACTCCTGAAATTAAGGTCCTAGTTGTATCTTCTCTTCTTTTCATATGGAAAAATGTGAAAAATTCCATTTTAGAATGGAAAAACTGGGATAGATTTGTACTGCCTAACCTTACGCATCTAATTTAGATGATACATGAAGAGGCTACTCCTCTTAGGACCTCAGTATAGTCAAGACAGAAAAAGGTTCCCATAAAGGACGTTTTAAAGCATTGATATGAAGTTCCACATTTGAAGAACTCTCTGAATAGAATAATTGTCTGCACTGGCTATCTAGGCAGTTTATGGAGACTAGCCTGTTTAGGAAATCAAATTAGGTAGTTAGTGACAGATTGCATGACTGTCCCCAGTATTTTTTAAAAAATAAGGAAAAATATGTCTTCCCTTTTTTAACTAAACCCATTTTGTGTGCCCATACTGATATGAATAAACTTTGAACAGTTACTGAAGTACTTGTAGTAGAGAGTTGCAAGATATCCTAATTCAATACCTTTCCTCCTGGCATTCATAATCACACCTTTTTCATATCTGTTTAATTAATAATCAGAAGTCATGGCAAAGAGAGTAATTAAATGCTCACTTCTTATGTAGAATAGGTATTTATTCTGATTTTGTGGTTAACTCTATTAGCTAATCTGTAGAGGTTTTTGAGATCTTTTTTTTTTCTAAGTACTGACTATAACAAATATAAGAAAACAGTGTCATGTGTTAATTAAATGCCAATGGTTAAATACTTTTAATAACTTATAGAAGAGTCTATAAATGTCCAATTACATTCTACAAATAAGATGATGAAATTGTGACATATGAAAAAATACACAAGCTGTGAAACTAATAAGTATTTATTTGATCCCAATAAGAGGATTTTTTTACTCAGTTTGACCTGTGCAATAGAATTCCCTAATAAATTTCTGCAGTAAAACATTGTAAAAGACACTTTGCCTAATTTTCTCTTTATTAATCTACAAACCCAGCATTTCTGGAAACAGAAGGGATCGGGCTCTTTGTTTCTGAGTAATGATTCAATGCCAGATTGACGCAAGTGAAACTCATCAGTTTTATAATACAAGCTTCAAAGTACTTCCCAGAATTACAGAATTAGCCTGGAAAATGCTACTACTATATTTTACAAAGTAAATGTAAAAACCTCTTTGCAATGCTATAAGAAGTAAGAACATCTCTCAGCACAGTAAGTTCATCTGGGTCTTCACTACGTTTGGCTAGCTGAAGCAGAAATACCTTGTTAGGTTGCTGAGCTCCAAAAGTCTCAGACAAACAGTCATGACAAATGTAGTCTGCACAGTATGACACATGTAAAAGACTGGATTATAATATATTCCTTGGCTATCTGTGCACTGTATGTGATGTAAATACATACTTAACTTGTCAGACTCACTGCGGCAATATTGAATGCAAACATACACAATGCTTTCCAAGACCTGGTTGTGAGTTCCATTGCCTCCCTCTCATTTATTTCATGGCTCCACCTAATCCACTTTTTAGGTCTACAATGGAAGATTCTACTCATTATTGTGGATTAGTAAGAACCTGCTGTATTAAGTAGGTCATTTCAGAACCTCAAACCATAGAAAACTTGGGTTTAGAATTTTAAAACTGACTAAATGTGTGTACGTAAGCTCTACAAATTTTGAAACTTAATGCAATGACAAGAATGTAAAAAAAAAGGATAACAATGAAAGTCTTACCTGGTCTGAGGGAGAACAGCATTTGTTTGCCATTTTCATCTATGAAAGAGAGATGGAAGAATACACAGAGATATTAATATGCTGAAGAGTTTCTATGATGCAATTAGCATTGACTTAGATACTGAATACCATATTAATATTTCCAAATTATAAGAAATTCAGTGCTTATATACTAGATTTCTACTATTACACTAAATTTACAAAACCAAGGACACAGAAGATGGTAAGCCTTTTACCAGAGTTCTCATTAAATCCTTCATAAAGATTTACATTTATAAATTCAACTTTGTCATTCTGAGTGAAACTATTATACTGAACTGTAGACAACTCACTCAGGTTTTAGTTAAACAATTGCTTAAACAGATCTATAAATGAGGCATGTGGTTAAATACTTATGAAATGAAGGCTATAGAGTGTAAGACATGCTTAAAATGAAGGGAACATTGTTTATGTTTTCCTTTAAGTTTACTCTTCAAGATTCAAGTTATTTTTTCCTGTCTGTTCAGATAATGAAGAGTTTTGTTGATTTTGGCTCCTTTTTTGGCAGTCATAGTTTGTGTAAATGAATGGTGGACAAACCCTAACTGATATTCCCTTCTTTAAAGTGCAAAATTAGTAAGCGTAGTAATGATACAGTATCCAGATGGAAAAAGATTAGACAGGAAAGACAGACTCCCCTATATACAAAGATACAAGCTGCAAACTGTCCTTCTGTTGATGAGTTCTTCCAAAGGACCTTGTTCGCAAAAAGCCTGTTTTATAACTAATGAAAGGCTTGTGATAGAAGACCAAAAGCTATAGCTATGCACAAGGAAAACTACAACTGCCACAGGAAAAGAGCAGAAGAAATACAGGGCTATTACTTGTATCCTGGCCATACCAGATGTGTATGATCAAATGTGTGGATAATCTTTTGGAAGCAGAGAATGTCTGAGGCCACGTAGCTCAGTAAATATGGTCATGCCATTGCCTGTTGTGGTGGGTTGACTCGACAGCGCTGAGCACCTACAATGGTGCTCACTCCCTTCCCCCTCCTGGCAGGAAGAGTAAGAGAATAATAAGAGCAAAAGAAGAAAACCTGTGGGTCAAGATAAAGATAAAGATTTGAAGGTTTGAACTAGGTGATCTTAAGGGCCTTTCCAACCCTAACCATTCTATGATTCTACGGCTTAATAAGTGAAGGAAAGAGGAAAAAAACAGCTGATATAAAGGAATCACTCACTGCCTCCCACAAGCTGACTGATGCCCAACCAGCCTCCAAGCAACAGCCACCTCAGAAGAAAAACCCTCACCATCTTTGTCTACTCTACCATTTCTATTGCTGAACACAACATTACGTGGTATGGAATATCTCTTTGGCTAACTTTCATCAGCTGTCCCAGCTGTGTCCTTTTCCAGTTCCTTGTCCATCCTTGCTAAGGGGGTGGAATGTGTCAGAGTGAGAAAATTCAAAGCCTCAGTGCAAACACTGTTCAGCAACAGTCAACACACTGGTGTGTTATTAACACAGTTTTAGCCTCAAATACAAAACACAGCATCATATGGCTGCTATGAAGAAAGTTACCTATGTCATAGCCAGAGCCAGTACGCCTATAAGAGGCCAAAAGGCTCTGTGTTATGATAATGACTAGGGCCTCAGGATGTGTCAGGGTTTGTCTGGACTGTCTGGAGCTGTATTACAGCTTGTTTAGCTGTAACATACACACTAATGACCACAGAACTATTGCCTGCTTGGTTTTAGCAAATTACAGCCGTGGGATGTAAAAAACTTACATATATATAAACCTTACAGGTGTATATCTATATGAAGTATATAGACACACATACACACTTGCAGCTAATAGATGGCAATAGCAAGTCATTATTCGACAGAGTGAATTATCTATGACCATAAACAAAGTGACCCTAGGACAAAATGTGATGTGGAGGATTACAGGACAACAGCAGGAGCCTTGACTGTATGGACACAGTATGATACATAGTTTCAGGGCTGTAGCAGTCATTCCTAACCCACTATGGGCCATGAGGGCTCCTTCTCATCCCATACTCCCTTTTGTAGCCTGCTGGAAATGAATTGTGTGGTCAAATGGTGCAGGTGGGCTCGTGGGTTTGACAACTGGGAGTGACTCAGGCTCTGCGGATGAGATGGCCAGACCTGCTGTGAGCCTGGGCATCTGCCAGGCCTGGCTGTCACTTTGAGTACAGTGCTGGGAGAGCCTGTCAGCCCCTCAGAGGGTCCCTGCCAGGGAGTAACAGGGACTACTACAGCAAATCAAACAGGCCACAGCCTGCAGGCACTGACATCTGCACCATAATAGGAATGATGACGAGGATGGAGCTGACATACAGCTGCCAAGAAGAGCAGAGACCCACGCATGGCTCCTTGCAGCTCTTGCACGCAGCTGTCTACAGCAGTCTGACCCCAGACTGCATGGCTGCAGCGTGCCAAAGGTTGCCTGGAGCACTCTGGAAGGGAGAAGAGGTGGCAGAGCTTGGGGCCCCGACAGTAACAAACCAGCGAGAACTCAAGAACCCCACTCCGTAACCTGGATAAATCAAATTGATGATCAGATCTCAGGCTTCATCCTAAGCAGTTGTGCAGGACATGATGAAAAGGCACCTGGAATACTTTAAGGTTAGTAGGAATGCCGTCATACCCTGCCCATATTTTGCTCCAACCTTTCTCCATGGTTCAGATACAAATATACACACAAAGTATACAGAAGCCATGTTAAACATACAGAAAATGTTATTTCCTTGCAGGAGCCAAAGACATACTGAATAAAAAGGTTGCTGTAGCATAAACCAGTGCAAATGAACAGGGCTAGCTGGGATCCTATCTCCTTTTGCCCCTCTTTTTGGTTCAGTCAAAATACTTCAGCTCCCTGTATGATAGGAAGAATTTTTGTTATGCTACTTTTTATTTTATTGAATTCAGACGTGCCTGGAAAAATGTATGTGAGACTGGCCATGCAGGTTTTCCACAGAATGACGGTTGAGTATTGTGAAGAGCATCCTCATACCCAGTACCACTTCACAATAGGAAGGGCAATGCTTTGGACTCCACAGCTGTTCAGTTAGCTCATCCTCTACTCAAAGCAGGGACACCTGCAGCTCTCATAACTGTAGGGAGAGGAAAGATCTCCTCCTGAATCACATTATGTCCCTATGTCAAGGGGCTGAAGAAAGAGAAGTATGCACTCTCCACTTCACCTGGCACCACATGTTGTCTACTTGCCTACACATCTGGTGCAGAGAGACAGGAATACAAATGGGATACGCTACACCTTGCTGGCAGCGCATGAGCTTTCAGCACTGCAGTACAGCAATGGGAGTTGGAGACAGCAGGGGAACTACTAAAAGTGAAATCTTGGATCTGAAAAAGACTGCAGGAAACTTGGAAAAGGAACCATTAAGCAACTATAATTCTTATACTCTGTTCTAAATGCATACATACGGGTCAAGAACAGGATAGGGATTAAATGATACAGAACCATATATCAAAATCTAAGTATGTTCCAGGATGGGGTTTATCTCACTTACCTTTGGTAAGCCAAAAAATTAGAGAGTTATACTTCTAATACACCTATACTCTTTCCAGACAGCAAAGAAACAGAAAGATCTTGATAAGCACCTATGTTATTCTCCTGTCTATAAGATCCTAAGCAACTGCCTGTTTCTTAGCTAAATTTAGGTAATGTGATTCCTACCCTTATTAACTTCCCTTTGCAACCTCAACAGTTTGAACTGTGGTATTTTCAAATGGAATTTTTTTTAATTTAAAATCAACAACAAAAAAAGCAGCAGCAAATAAACATTATCATATGTTTTCACCCTGGGAATAGAATTGTTTTCATAATCTCATAGAGGCACTTAAATTTGTATACTGCTTCCTACACACAAGGATTTTGTTTCCATCTACATGTACCCCAAATTCTGCTCTGTAAAGAAAGCAAGACCTTCTCAATCCTTTCTTTCTTTATATGCATGTTCAAAACTCATGTTTCGTAAGTCTCTCCCTATTCATACAGAAATGTCACTCCACTGCAATACAGAGTATCACTTAAATATACCTAAATATACACAAAGGCCTAAAAGAAAAGGTTTGAAAATTGTGACATATACAATTAAAAAAGATGCCGAAGGCATAAATATGATCTGGATTAACAACCCAATTTTGAAGCAAAGTTTTAAGTTTCTAGTGTGCTTCAATGAAACTGCTGGAGTAACTTATAAAAATAGTAACTAATGTTTAAAGTGGAAAAACTGCATCTTAACTTGATCCCTTACCTGCTTATGAGCTACTCATCTACGTATTTATTTATATTTTAAATTTAATTTTAAATAGCACCATTAAAAGATACTGGGGGAAGAAAAAAAAAACATCCTTAGGAAACATAAGAAATAAGTCTTTATAATGTAAATGAACTGGCAGCATTACCTTTAGGTGCTTCTACTAGTTATGACTGCATTAATGTTCAGTGTTATGTTTCAAAGAAAACAATTATGATCCATGAGAAAAGCTGCATATACTTAATAGCTGACTATCTGAATGGTGTGAAACAGAGAGAAAAACATAAATTATTCCAAAGAACTTTCTCTTAAAAAAACATGTCCAGCACAGCATTGCTACTTCAGCCTAAAAAGAAACCTCTAGCTGAACAAATTAAGAACAGAAGCAGTGAGAAACACATGCAGATCAACTTGTTTCCTGTGCTTCTCGTTTCATCTTGGCAGCTTCACTTCCAGCTTCTCTTCCCTCTCTCCCCTCAGTTTCTTCAACTGTACCTCCTTCTTTTTAGAAAAGAGGTGTATGAAGAAATAAATGTGAGGTGCTGATTCATCTCTATTTATTTCTGCCAAAGGTAAATGTGAAGAGCTTTGAGTACATTGAGAATCACAAAGTAGGGATTGAATCACAAAGGAGGATGGTAGGGAACTTTCATGCTGGTAGAAAAGCATGTGAAAAACAAGAATATGAATAGAGGGATGAATATTTGGGGCAAGAGTTCTTAGGAAAAAATAATCCATACTGCTTTTAAAGCTGATCGTTACTCAGAGATTTTCCTAACTAAGTGTACAAGGCATGTATCAGTAAGCAGATACCCTTACATCTTTCTCCATGTTACAGTATTCTCTGTACCCCTCTTTGCTCTAAGAACTAACTCTCTCCAGGTGAGTACTAGTATTTTAATTTCTCATCTACCAAGTAACACTTTCTAGATATGCTAACATCCAGGGGTAGCTTCCTTATGCAGTGATGTCTTCTCACATCTTCACTACTGAAAGATGACTCCTCCTTTACACTTGGTCCTCAGAGAGCTTGTCTTTACATAGAAGTTAGACGTTTCAGTACTTCAAAGGAGTAGTCTGACATTAGCAGAAGTGTCACACTGTGGCAGAGCTATTTTTGTACTGTCTACATCAGGACTGTCTTGGCATCAGCAGGAGGTCTGACAAAGAGCTGCCAGTTACTAAACAAGAGTGTAGTATTGTAAAATAAAGCATATTAGGGTAAAGTGATACATGAAAAACAAGGTGCAGTGTAAGAAAACAATCTGTATCAAAAGCTCTTTAAGAATTAAAATTCTAAAAGAAATTATTCAAAATGGTATGCAAATGTGTATGACAAAGGATGTGTATAAATGCAGGATGAATAGGCACAGATGAAATAAGAATGGACAAGGTTCAGGAACAGTTGCTAAAGTCAAGAAACAAATATCAGTACAAACAAAATCTAAAAATACGTGGAAGTTTAAAGTGAACAACCTGCAAGTATTGGTTAAATAGTAATAGGTCAGGTAAAAATGCTGACATCTTTTCTGCCAACAGTATCAGCAAGAAGTTCCATTGTGACCACATATTTAGTAATTAATTTATACATAGAGGTGATGGCATAGGACAGGATAGGAAATTAACAGTTTAAATATTTGGAGAAACAACTGAACTTAAGAGTCAGCAAGGACTCATGAAAATAACTCTGAAGCAGATAAGGGATTATCTGAAATAATCTCTAAACCAGTAGTGATTATCTTCAGTTACTCCTGGAGAATGGGGGAGATAGATACACTACAGAAGTGGAGAAGCGCAGAAAGAGTTAAAAATTCTGAGGAATTACAGATCCATTTCCTAACATCAATTTCAGAAGTATGATAAGAAAAGATTCATTTTGTGCAATGGTAGTATTAAGGTAATAGAAGTAATTCAAAATGGATTTTCAAGAAACCTTATCCAGAGGTTAGGTTGGCCTTGCCCAAAGCACTGTGGATGTCAAACAGTATGTGTCCTCTGACTGCCCAGAGGCAGGGAACACTCTCCAGCCACTTTTTGCTGTATGCTTTAGTTGCACTCCAGGCTCAAACTCCTGGTCTTAAATAATGGTTTGCAATGAAACAGCTTCTGACTGACTACTGCATCTCCTGTTCTGATGATCAGTAATTAAAATACACAGGCTGCACACCTGACAAAAGCTGTAAAGCTTTAAGTCCAAGCAAAAAGTTTACTTGCTTCTGATACGTTCTGTGTAGAGTTTACTCTCTTCATCACCAAGAACACAAAACATGTGAATTGAATACAAAACGTGAATTTATTATCCTAGGTGTTGTTTTGCAGACCCTTCCCCAGAACAGCCACTTATATGAGCACCAAGTGGACTACTTTGTTTATAGAATTCACTATTGCAATAGATAACAGAGAAGACCAACACAAATACTCAGTATATAATAAAATATTGCTGCACACAACACAATGAAGACACTATGTCAGAACACATGCTACTGTACATAGTACATTTGAAAAAAACAGACTAGAACCCTATGACTAATAAAACCTGCTTGCATTTATAGCCACTTTTTATTGACTTATTCACCTATATCCTTGGAGTGGCTTTTATTGAGTGGATTTCCTTAAAAAGGAAAAGAATTTGGCTTAGTAACTATGAACTGAAATTGCTCTAAAAATATTACCATACACTTCTTTTTGCTATTCACACGTAAGGAATTATGAAATTTCAGGAATAATTGATATTGTTTTCTTAGTAATGTAAATAAAGTAATGTAAAATCAAACAGTAATACCCTGTAAATTATAAAAATCACTAAATAGAGACTAGGGCGTATCTATAAAGAATGCATCATAAGCAAAAATGTTCAATTTTGTCAAAGATTGCTTAATCAATTGAATACTTAAAAAGGGTTAACCTAATAAATGAACTATTATGATTCTACAAAATGTGATTCCAAATAACTTTTGAAGACCAGAAAAATAAATTCAATTTATAATGTGTTTCGACCAAAGATTTATGTTGAAATCAAGTACAAATTCTACACAATGTAATATGAAGATCTGAGCAAAAATTAACCTGAGTAGGAAGTATAAAGACATGCTACTAAATCATAATTTATAAAAGAAGTTACAGCCTGAACACATTGAAAGAAAAAAAGATTAAGAACCTGCACAGGCAATTCCTCCAGGAACAGCTGTGCTCTTATATTTTTACAATCGATTTCTACCATTCAAATAGACTGAAATATATTTTCAATATTGTACATTATCAAGAATCAATTTAAGTTCATGATTCATTCCAGAATCTTCAATAGTTTTCATTTGGTCTTTCTTGGAATATTAATGTGCTGCCCAACTAATAAATTTATGTATCTCCAAGGTTTGCTTAATACTTCTGCTTGCATTAGCAAATCCTACTTACGAATTTACAGAAATAACTTAAAGCAGTGTAAGCACCTTTGCACTTCTAGGAAGAAAGATGGAATAAGACAACCTCAAATAAATCAACTCCTAGTCAACTTAGAGAGGTAAAAGTACTGTCTCCCAATAAACCTCTGTAAGTCTCGCTTCACTAGCTACAGAATTTCCACATGCCTATTCCAAAATCAACAAAATTAATTCAAGCACATCTTAATTAAAAAAAAGTAAAAATTAATTATTTGGTCACATGTAAAGATCTGTGAAATGACCAGAAAGGACAAATATTTTGCCTTAAAAAAGTCTTTAAAATAATAAATGCAATGTGCATTTCTACCACTCCCTTTTCTATAATAACACTGCAAGTCTTGAAAATGTCTTGATACTTTTGATTGACCACACAACCTCTCCCTGCTCTTTCCTTCTCCTTTTCCTCCCCATACACGTGTTTTATATATTGCAACTTAAATGTGAATTATTTTCTACCCTTGGAAAATTAGAAATATCTTACAATAGCACAGACAAGAAAATATGCAGGAAGTAACATACATTTTGAAGTGTCAAATCATTGATGTTAGTTGACATTGCTCTCAGCCAGTCAGCACTCTCCTGGGCTGTATAAAACTGAAGTATCCCAGTACTAACTCCATCGAGTGCCAGCACTTCAAATGCATTAGATCTGCAGTAAGAAGAAATATATCCGTAAAGGAAGATACATCAGTTTTCTGAAACTGCCCAATATTTCTCAGTGTTCAAGTGATTTTTACACATTCTGACAAGTTTTGAGTTTTAGCTTTACAAATCAAAAGAAAGGCAACAAAAAGAAGGATAATAATGGGCAGTACCAGGAGCAACACATACAATAAGTACTTTCTATGTACCAGCATATATGTGCTGATCACTTCCCTTAGTGTACATATTATGTTCATAATTACTAAACTTATGACAGTGTATTCAGGAAGTATGCATTGGATCTTTTTGAACAAACATAAAAAATTTTTAAACCAAAATGATTATTTTCTTCATTGCATTTTCGTTTCACTTACTAGTAATGTATTAAGTTGCAAAGAACTGCCTTCCCTAGCTTTAATTTCTTGAATTCCTACGCTTTTCTACGTAACATTTTAAGCAAGGTTTCTTTTAAAGCTCTTTTATGACACAGGAATTTGAAAAATGTATTTAGAAGTTTCTTATAATTTTTGAATGTAGGGCCTTTTCTAAAAACAGCATTGACATGTGCTAACATGCAACTGCCAATTAATGTGGTTTTTATTCATTTGTTAAGTGTTTATAGCAACTTTGTTCTGCAAATGCCAGTGCTTTCCTTACTATGTGCAGTAAGTTAAGCACAGTGTACCTAACTCTGAAATCCCACATTTAGATGCTGATGGGATATACTTTTTTAATGATGCTTTTTCTTCAACAGGAACAACAAAAGTTTAAGTAGCTGTATGGAAGTACGCTGGTCTAAATTTAAAATGTGACATGCAATAGTTTCAGCAAGTAAACTTCAGCAAGCTACACAGGTTATTTAAGTGCTCATGAATGCCATGAGAATTAGATTTTAGTCATACACTATTGTGAAAGACAATTATAATTTTCTGAATGATTGTGCAAATATTTGTTTTGCGTATAAATATGGAGAATATCATTGCTACCTTCTACATTCATAAAATAGGTATTTATACTTAAATGCTATATTGCTTTCTTTTTGGTACTAACCTAGAAGGAAGAAAACTACTAAATGAAGAAAACTGCTCTATGAAGCTGCTGGGTTTTCCTGGGATTCTCTGATCTAAGGTAAAGTCCTCTACTGCTTAATTTATGTTACATGTTAACATAAGCATTCAAAATTATGCATATTGGTTAATAGGCAGTTGTTCATTCATGTATTACTGAAAAAGTTATTAATCTAACATTTGTTACTTGTAGGGAATTTGATGGTGAACATGAATACTTAACTCTATACTTGCTAAAAAGGTCACATAAAATACCCATCACACACAATATTAACAAGACAAAGTATTCTAATAGATATGCTTAAGTGTTAAAAGAGTCATAATAGGGTACACCTGCTGTTCCCAAATGAGCATTCTTGGCCTGAACTCTTAAATGTATATCACAGATTCCTTTGTTTTCACAACTGAATTAGCATGGTAACTACTAAAACCTGATGGCAGTGGCACAATTCTGTGTCACTTTCATTTCAGTAAATCTGTTTCACCTCTTCAGAAAGAAAGGTCAAAACAAAGCCTTTTATTGTCTGAAAGTAAATCGAGTGAAATAATCACCTCTAAAGCACACTGTTCCTTTTACCTAAGGCTCTGACAAAGATCCCGACAATGCTGTAATGGATTGACTTACAGTATGATCTCTTCAACATCCCACTGAGACAGTGAAGATCTGTCATCCCCTATGCATTGGCACAGTGGAGAATGGAAACAGACTTAATTTGATGCTGTGAAGAGAAGCCATTCACAATACCTAACCTGGACATCAAATTCAAATATCAAAGCTAAAATGCTAGAGCCCTTACATGGACAGAGAAGACAATCCAGAGCATTTAACAGAGTCAAGAAATAATACACGCTCTCCACTGAATCCGCAGGGTGCCTGGATACTAACTCAGCTTCACTTCATAAAGGCATACAGTGTGAATGCCTTATCCAAGTGGCACAAAGTCGCACAAGAGGCTGATGAAAGATCACAGAAGGGAACTTCTCAGCTAGCAACTAATGCAACCAACACAGACAATCAAGATTAAAAAGTAAGAAGTTTTATTATAAAAATTAACCAATCTTTTATCATTTGAAGCATGGTTCTAGCAATAGTGCAGATTGCACTAAAACTCCTGTTGTCCTTTACCTTACAATATAGTGATCAGTTATAAAACACAATTAACAAGTTTCAAATGAACACATCTAGAGATCTGCCATCTTCACTGACAGGAGATCTGCACAGAATCAAATCAGGTATGAGGGATCCTGCTAGTCCTCTATACCAGCCTCCTCACTAACTGGTTTATAATACACATCTCTTTTCCACTGGAAGATGAAACTGGACACAGTATTTCACATGCACGTATTTCAGATGTGGCCCCAGGAATGCAAAGTAGAGAATTATCGCTTCCCTTGCCCTGCTGACTACAGTATAGCTAATGCATTCTCATTTGTAGGTCTTCACCACTGAAAGTGCATACAGCTGATTCATGCTCAATGTGGTATCCTCCAAGATCCCCAAGCTTTTCCTGCAGTATTTTAAATTTGGTTTATTTTGTATTAAACTTGGAGTAATGATGTAAGATAACTGAAGTAATACAGACATATGCTTCTAAAGGTATTTTCTTAACTGATGTGGCAGTAGAAGCAGCTGTATTCCATTAGATTTGTAAGAACTTGTGCAGGAGAAAGTGATAGTCGGAGGCAGGACAGTTTTAGCATTCATGAGACCTCTTATTCTGTTCCCTTTGAAGTCACACAAATAGTTACACTGGCACACTGAGGAAAAAGAACAAGGTTAATATCACCAGCTGAAAGAGAAAAAAGAGTAGAATGCAGGTGTGAGGTATTTCACTTTGCTGCAGGCAGAAAAATATCTGAGGAATTCCGGTCTTAGCATGCTTTATTTCTATGGAAGAGGCAGAGGAGTCTTGCAGGGAAACAGGAACAACCTGAATGACTGCAAGCTGTATGCAGTATCAGTGTATTACTGTTGTCTCTTGAGTGCAGAATGTGTAGTAGGACCAGTCACCATGGTGAGCTGAAGAATGGAGTGCATATATAATTATTAATACTTTTTTTATAATTCCAGCACAATTACGAGTTGGTGGTAATTCAAGTGAGGTGGATTTCACCCGCCTCGAGCATATAAAGTGCTGTTGCCTAAGTATATGGATGACAGGAAGCTGGAATATGGCAAATTTCAATTCAGCATTAGATTTTTGTTTTTTCCTCAGGAGGTGATCAAATACTGGCACAGAGTGCTCAGCAAGGTTGTGGAATCTCCAGCCTGGGAAGTGTTCAGAAATTGACAAGAGATGGCCCTGAGCAATCTGTTCTCATTAGCCATGCTTTGAGCAAGGAGCTGGACTAGCTGACTTCCAGGATCCCTTCCAGCCTGAAATATTTGATGATTTTATAGTGAGTCATGCTAAACTCAGGAACTATTTTGTTTTACCATAAGCAAGAGCACAAGGCAGGTGAACTGGGTAATTCTCTGGAGATGCTTATTTCCTTCCATTTACTCCTAGGTGAGTCCTGGGATTTAGCACATTGACAGGTGAATGACTGTTAGACGTCTACAGTCAGGGGAGATCAATCTTACCCATTAAACTCCAATCCCACAAAAATTTTGTGAATGGTCCCACAGCATTTAGGTGGAATGTCATTTTGCCTTCAGTTATTGACATGCAGATGTCTTCTTAGATTCCGAGCATAAGTCACTTGTTGATTCTACTCAGGAAGTATAAGGTGAATGAATATATACCTATAAGTACATAGGTATATATGAGAGTCGGAGCATAAGTCACTTGTTAATTCTACTCAGGAAGTATAAGAAAATACTAGTAAATACAAATTAGCAAATTAAATAAGATCAGTTTCACAATCTTATTAAATGAATAAGTAAATAATTTTTATCAAGGTTAAAAACTCTTCAGCTATATTTTTAAAAAGTCTTAATGCAAGTATTTACAATTTATTTTAATCACTAGGATACTAAACATGCATATTCTTTTCTAATTGCTCCTTAAGCACAGTGGAAGTATGTGGGACAGGTTACAACTTTAAAAAACAAATCACTCAACTGTACTTTACAGTAACCCTTGTAAAAACTTGATTTATTTCAATGATGTGTTCAGAGCTGATTTGATATGTCAATGGCTTCAGTCTCCAATATAACACATAAGTGTCTCATTAGTTTTTACATACTTGAGATGGCTAACAAAATCTGTATATGGATAATAATTATTTGACTGCCTGTCAGTGTATGCCAGTTTAGATTCAGGTTCAAGCTCTGTAAGTGTTTTGGCATGAGGGAAGTCTATAGCTCATGACAACAGATCTCTGTCATGACTACAGAGAGATCACCAGTGTCATTATGTTCTATGCAAAAGATTACTTCTTCAAGATGTTCAGTTCTCTACAGAATTTAAATATCAGATTTACACTGTCTATGAAATTCAGACACATTTGTTAGGGAAAAAGAGATGCCATGTGTTTAGCTTACACTTAATAATGTAGTGGGTTTCTTTGAAATCTAATCTATTATTTTTGATACACTTTTAGGCTGCAAGTACGTTGTATGCACAAGTATGTTGGTTGATGAGAAGCTTGACATGAGCCGGCTTCAGTGTACGCTTGCAGCCCAGAAAGCCAACCATATCTTGGGCTGCATCAAAAGAAGCATGACCAGCAGGTCAAAGGAGGTGATCCTGCCCCTCTACTCTCCTCTTGTGAGACCTCACTTGGAGTATTGCGTACAGTTCTGGTGTCCTCAACATAAAAAGGACATGGAGCTGTTGGAGCAAGTCCAGAGGAGGGCCACAAGGATGATAAGGGGGCTGGAGCACCTCCCGTATGAAGACAGGCTGAGAAAGTTGGGGCTGTTCAGCCTGGAGAAGAGAAGGCTGCGTGGAGACCTCATAGCAGCCTTCCAATATCTGAAGGGGGCCTACTAGGA